TTAAGTACCTACTGTACCCTGGGCACTGTGCTGAGGAGGATGGACATGGTCTCTTCTTTCCGGAGCTTACAGACCCAGGGGGGAGAAAGATATCAACCAGTAAACTCACATATATTGCCAGATAGCAGTAAGTGCCATAATGGAAGGAAAACAGAATCACAAGACTGAGAATGACAGGGGGAAGGGAGGACAACTCTAGGTAGATATTTGAGCTGAGACCTGGATGATGAGAAGGAGCCAGCCATGCTATCTTGAGGATCAGCTCTTTAGGAAGAATAAACTGCTTTTGGAGTTCAGGGTAAGATCAGAGTAGTAGGTACGGCAAATGGTCAGAACCAAAGAAAACCTAGAAGAAGACTGGCCCCAGGGTCTAGGCCAGCAGGAGCAGAACACTGGGACAATTTTGGCCTGGGGGCAATAAGGACACCAGGGAATTTACCACCCAAGTTGGGGCCCTGCTGAGTGTGGAAGGGGCAGTGTCAATAATTTCTCCAGGACATCAGATATACACTGGATCTGTCCTGGGAAAACCAGGGTGAATGATCACGCTACCCTGGGCATAATGGGTATTGAGTTTATTGGGCCAAAATCTTTGCAGCTCATCAGTTTAGACTCAGCCACTTGATCCTGGGTTGTGAGAGTAACTTAATTCCTAGGCACACTGGAAGAGATAGGATGGAGGAAACTGCTACGAGCTTGGTTCTATTAGAGCTGTGGTGGATCTAAGCTGACAGGAGTGGTAGATTCCACTGCCAGGAACCAAATAAGTGAAAATAAAGGGAATACAAGTGAGCACCTACTATGTGTCAGGCACGTACTTTCTCACCTAAGACTCACAACAAACCCCTTATCATAGGTACAATTTCTGTCTTAGTTTACTAATGATAAAACTAGCTCTAAGAAGTTGACAATCTGACCAAGATCATGTAGGTAGGAAAGAGCAGAGGTAGGATTCAAACTCAGACCTGCTGGGCTCCCAATGATATATTGTCTTTAGACAGAGGCAGGGAAAGCAAGGCTGACACAGGTGTAGGCACATTCGGATAGGCTCAGAGAAACACACTTACAGAGCGACACTCAGACGCAAGAGATCCAGACGCAGCTGGAAGCTTTGATGTGTGGATAAGGTTCTGTGTCCCGTACAGCTAGGTGTCCCCCAATATCTGCTGTCCCCTGCTTCTATAGAATATCCCAGTTTTAGCCGAGCCCTGTGCCACCAAAATGACAGATTATATTTCCCTACTTTTCTCGCATCTAAGAGTTCTACCCAAGGTGATGAGAGGAAAAATAGTACCACTATCCTCGCACAAGCTTAGGGGACACTGCTCACAATACGAGGAATATGTGAGTAAAAAGGATGTTACAACCTTGACTGGCAGAGGTTTGTTCTGCCCATTCTCCCTTTTGCTCCCAGGAGACTGAATATTTGAAAGGAAAAGGGCCAGACCATATATGACAACAGAACTCTGACCCATACCCCTGGAGCAACTGGCCTGGAATGGTCAGGACCTGCTCAATGACTGCCAGCTGTCCTAGTTTTATGTCCCTGCTGTTAACTGAGGACCCACCAGAGAAAGTCAAGTATGCCCATAAAACAATCACATAGGATGCCCACTTCTAGGTAGCCCACCTCCAGCTTCGCAGAGCCAATAACCACCTTCAGGGCACACCTGAAGAGTCAGGAGGCTCTGTGTTCTCTTTTGGGCGATCTCCACCGATTTCTACACTCCCTTCCTGCTGGTGAGTATGGAATGAGCCATCGTGAATTGTGAGCTCCAGGATGGAAGGAACCTGATTCTCCAGTAGTTTGGAATCACCATGCACCCTGGACTGTTAGTGAGAGAGAAAAACGATTCACACACACACACACACACACACACACACACACACACACACACACTCAGGCCCGGAGGAGGCTTTTTTGTCTCAGATTGAATAGTCAGACCTCATCTATTTCAACCATACTAATTTGGAACTTGTGCAAGTTTGCCCTTGGGCAGCCTGGGCGAAAGGGTACTTTTGCACTGGATTAAAAATCAGAGGTTGCTGAGCAGACTCATGTATACACCTGATTTCACTCGTTTAAACTAGGATTTTTAAGGTACTTTAGCATCTTTCATTTGCATATGATGATTGATATGCTAATTACAATAGACTCTGACCTATTTATTAATACTTAGAGGCTACTTAGTCTGAGAGGTCTGTGAATGCTAATAATGCAAAGGAATAAAGCTGCATTTGTGCACACAAAATTCAGAATTTTCGTTAATTCTAACTGGATTCTCCCTCATCAGGATAAACAACCAAATTTCACTGACTCTTTCTTGGGTGTCTCCTTGTGTCCCAATGTAATTCTATCACCCTCTGGATACAATCTTGGCCACCGTGTGGCCCAGGATCACAGGACACCAAATACTTTTGGATGGGGAATTTATAAGGGCAATTCATTAATGTCCACGTACAACTCATCCTTCTGATCACCAGAGATTCAGGGCTCAGCTTCTGGGTGGTAGCAGCTCCTATTGGCCTCTGTGTCCCTTCTCCATGCCCATGGGGGATGCACAGAGGGGGCAGACTCCCAGAACTGGATTCTTGGTACCATGTTCTCAGTCATTTGATCTCCTAAGATGCTTGGGGTGGAAAGACGGGCTAAGACACAGAGCTAATATCTTATGTTTGTAAGTCTTGTAAGTCAGACTCTTATTTTCAGGAAGCTTCCATGATGCCTGACAGAGCAGACAAAGGCAAAGTGGCCCTTGGAGGTTCAGCAATCCTTCCCAGCTACCTGTGTGTCCTATGGAGCTACCTGGGAAGTGTCCCAGAGGTGCAGTTCCATGGGGCATTCCTGTCCATGCCACCAGACCTCCAACATCCATCCACACACTCACACATTCATCCATCAAACACTTGCTGTGTGCCTACTACATGTCAGCAAGACACAATCTTGACTCTTAGGGAGTTCACGGTCTATGGTCAAGACAGGCATTTACACAAATGATACTCTAGTGTGACAAAAGCTGGAACTGAGATGCATACAAACTACCAAGTGCAGAAGAGTGAGCAGATAACTCAGCTTGGTTGGGGAAGGTTTCACAAACATCAAGCCAGCGACAATTGAGTGAAGGCTTACGGGAGCAGGGGTTTCCATTAGCTGGAGACACATGGGGGAAAGCATTCCAAGCAAGGCATGGAGACAGAAAAGGATCAAGAAAAGACACGTAGTTCTGTAAGGCTGGGTGAGGGAGGAAAAGTGGATAATCCCCAAACTGACATTGGGGTTGTTTTGGGCACCATGCTGGGGGATTCGGACTTTATTCTGAGGCCACCGTACACACTCGAAGCAGGGCTGTGAACACAAATGCCTACAGGGTCAGGCAGATGATGAAGGGGGTCAGGTGGGAACTAAAAAACCGAGGAGTGCAGGTCCCATCCAAAGGTGACAGCCATTGTCGCCGTGCTGGAGCACAGGCTCAGTGTGGCCAAGTCTGTATGTCATACTGACTGAAGTAAGTCAGACAGAGAAAGACAGATATCATACGATATCGCTTATATGTGGAATCTAAAAAACTAGTACAAATGAACGTTTTTACAAAACAGGAAGAGAGTCATAGATGTAGCAAGGGGGAGGGGAGGAGCGATAAATTGGGAGATTGGGATTGACATATACACACTACTATGTATAAAATAAATTAACTAATGAGGACCTACTGTATAGCCCAGGGAACTCTACTCAACACTCTGTAATGACCTATATGGGAAAAGAATGTAAAAAAAGAGTGGCTATATGTATACGTATAACTGATTCACTTTACTGTACAGCAGAAACTAACACAACAATGTAAATCAACTATACTCTAATAAAAATTTGAAAAATAGAAGCTGGAAATCCATATTTTTATATGAACACTCCCAAGTTTTAAATGTTGGAAATTATTTCAAAACATCATGCTGGCCAAGCAAAAACATGTCCGATGTCCTATCAGTCTCCAGTTTGGCTTCGCTTCAGATGTAAAGCTTAAACAGAGAGCTGACACCGTCAGACTATGTTTCGGAAAGAGGATGTCCCCACTGACCTGCCCAGCCTTTGCCAGCAAGAACCTCTTCCTCCTCCTCCACCCCCTTGCTGCTTCCCTCGCTGCCCTCCCAGACCATCCCCAGTGCAGCCCCATCTTGCTTGGAGGAGCTGGATGAGTGCGCCGTGCTCCAGGCCTGACAGAGAAAGCCCAGCCATGAGGACACGAGAGAGCTGTATTTATTTCACATGGACAAGCGTGATTCTGTCACATGCTGAACGTGAAAGCTCGCGTGAGGAAAGTACCCGTAACAGCAGAATTATGTGCCTTTGCCCACAGGGAGCAGGGAGAGTCACAGAGTGGTTTTCAAAGACAGTTCAAGCAGAGTTGAGACCACAGGCTTTGAAATCACTGGTTTATGTCATCAGCAAAGGGTCTGTCTCCTAGGAGTGGCCAGGGGGACACTTCCGACTCTGTAATCTCGCCACGAGCTGCTAAGGTCAGGAGGACAAGGCTGGTCCCCCATCCAACACGCAGGGTGGCTCGGAGACTTAAGTTGAGAGGGGAGGTACATGCTGCTCGAAATTAACTCCGGGGTGGACGGGGACGGGGACAGACTGCTGTGTTCATAGCGACAGACCGTCATCCCTTATAATATATATCATAATTGGAAGACGCACTCCCACTCTTCCTAAAGCAATTTCCCAAGGTCTCTTAAGGGCTGAAGGGAAACCATTCAGAATTGACCGGACGTGCCAGAAGCAGATCAGCTTTGCATGGACAGACTGGGAGGGCTAGTGTCAGGGACGCCCCCCCTGTACAATGATGTCTAAGAAACTTTTACCTGGGGCATCGACGGAAAGCCCACGTACAGGAAATGCTCCACCTCTCACCCTCTTGCCCTTCCCTGGCTGGCTTTCTCTTTTGTAAGAATCCCATCGGCAGGGCTGCGGGGGGGCCCCCCCCCCCCCCCCTCCCCGCCACCCCGGTCTCTTGTCCTTAGCTGGGCTCCCGGGTTCCAGGATGATGAAATCCGAGATGGGAACAGGGGTTGGAGCCTGGGTTCCCTGGGGGAAGAGGGCCAAGGGCTCTCAGGGCAAACCTCGCGGAAGAGATAAGTGGAAGAACCCTGGCATCTCGATGGCTCATTCCCACCTGAAGTCCTGCCCAACAGTTTCATAAAATTTAATATTATAAGGTCTATAAAATTCCCGGAGCTGGTCTATCACTTCCGGGTCGATCTGTACATGAGTTCTGCCTTTCGATTTGCCCAGGCATCGAGGCAGGAGGCTCGATTCTGTTTTTTTCAAGCAAGGGAATCCTTTGGTCTTGTTGAAGAAGAAGTGCTTGTCCGTGACGAGCCTCTTAATGCCCAGGAAGTCCTGGACCCGCCCCATCTCGCCGGCTGGGTCAGTGACGAGCCGCTCGCCGCTGACGAAGTGGATCTGGGCCAGCGGGAAGAAGCGCAGCCAGCTCTCCAGGTGCAGCGCGTACATGCCTATGCGGATGGCGTTCCAGGACACATCCACCAGGCCCAGCGTGCGGTTGCGGAAGGAGAGGCCCTCGAAGGTAGGGATGTCCGGCTTCTTGGAGAGCGTCTGCGTGTAATCGGAGATGGCGCGGGTCACGGGGTTCCGCACGACCACTATCAGCTTGGTGTCTCGGGACATGTTGAATATCCGGCGAGGGGCCTCTTGAGTGACGAAATAGCTGGGGGTCTTCTCCAGCGTGATCTGGCTCTCGAGGGTCCGGGGCATCAGGCTCCTGCGGGGCAGAAACGCACATGATCAGCCAGGGCTCTGTTGGGGGCTTGGAGATCACTTCCCCCCACCCAGCTCCCTAGTGAAGCACCCGCCCCCTCACCAACGGGACATTTGAGGCTCACCTGCTCTCATCTGATGAAGAACCCACTTTAACTCTTGTTGACTTTGTTTTTTAGGTCTTTAACAGTTTGCTTTAAGACAAGAACCAACCTAAATGTCTATCAGTGTGGAATAAATAAATGATGGAATAGCCAATTGGTAGAGTTAGGTAGATCCGCATGTACTCTTATGGAATGATTTCCAAGATTTAGTGCCTAAATGAAAAAAAGCAAGATACAACTTGTTTATCTCAGGAAAGATACCAAGAAACCAATCAAAGTAATTGCTTCTGGGGAGGGGACTTGAATGGGAGCAGAGCCAGGAGGTCAGGGATAAATGAGAATTAGTTTTTATTGTGTAATCTTTTACGCTGCTTGAAATTTTTATTGTGTTTATTACATATTCAAAAAATACAAAGGAAGCCACCGAATATTGTTCTGGCAAAAGATACTTCTCTAAATATATTAAGAAAATCTTTTGGGGGGGAGGAAAGGCATGCTTTGCAGGAATAACATGTGTTTTAGGAATGAGCTCTGATGTCTTTTCCTCCTTGGTATAAGACTGAAGAAGCATAGAACTGCAGGCTGGTTGGGACCTCAGTCGGAAGCCCTAATGCAACCTCTTGCTCCCTTACTTTTTAATTTCCTGGTTCTGCTTAAGGTTTAAGGGAGGATGGTGGGACACGCTGATGTCTCCTTCTCAGGTGTGTCTCTTTCAGGCCCCTGTGAAGGGGAACACCTCTGGCTCCCAGTCGCTACATTTTTCTTAAGTAAAATAAAAATTTTGTTTTTATTTTTGGCTGCGTGGGGTCTTCGTTGCTGGGCGCCGGCTTTGTCTAGTTGCAGTGCGCGGGCTTCTGACTGCGGCGGCTTCTCTTGTTGCGGTGCACGGGCTCTAGGTGCACGGGCTTCAGTAGTTGTGGCTCGCAGGCTCTAGAGCACAGGCTTAGAGCGCAGGCTCAGTAGTTGTGGCGCGAGGGCTTAGTTGCTCTGTGGCATGTGGGATCTTCCCGAACCAGGGATCAAACCCACGTCCCCTGCATTGGCAGGTGGATTCTTAACCACTGCGCCACCAGGGAAGTCTGCTACCTCTTTCTGAAGGTTGTGCTTTACCCTCAACCAGTTTTTCTTAATCCTGGCTGTTCATTAGATCACCCAAGAAAGTTAAAAAAAAAAAAACCCACAAATGTCTGAGCCCCATCCTAGACCAACTGATTAAAAATATTTGGGGGTGGGTTCCTTTCTGAAGATCCTCAGATGATTCCAGTGTGAAGGTAGGGGTGAGAACCACCAACACAGCATCCTTCCCCCACTCTTAACACTACAGCTTCCCAATGCCCACAGAATGCATCTTCACAGTCCTCTGGAATAGAGGCGCCTGGTACCTGGTCTTCATCCCAGCCCCTATCGTCATCTCTCTTCAGTAATCTGGTCTTACAGGTCTTTGACCAAATATCTCCTTTTTCTCTTCCTTTTACCAACTCTTTCTCATGGCCATACCTTAGGTCTTGTCCTTGGAATTTCCCTAATTCTGAAAAGGTTCACACTGAAATTCCACTCTAGGACTATGTTGTGGGTTGAATGGTGATCCTCCAAAAGATACCTCCACCCAGAACCTATGAATGTGACCTTATTTGGAAAAAGAGTCTTTGCAGATGGAAGTAAGTTAGGATCTCAAGATGAGGTCGTCCTGGATTAGGGTTCCTTGTAAGGAATATCCTTAGAAAAGAAGAGAAGGAGAGAAGAGATACACAGAGGAGGCAACGTGGTGATGAAGACAGAGCATGCAGTGATACGTCTACAAGCCAAGAAATGACAAGCATCGTTGGCAGCCACCAGAAGCCAGGAGAGAAGCATGGAGCAGATTCTTCCTCAGAGCCTCCAGGAGGAACCAACCCTGCTGACAATTTGGTTTCAGAATTCTGGCCTCTAAAACTGTGAAAGAATAAATCTCCATTGTTTTAAGATATCCATTTTGTGCTCATTTGTTATGGCGGCCACAGGATACAACCACAGACTACAACCTTCTTTCTTTCTACCTTTACCACAGTTTCAGATTCATTGTAGTGATACCCAATCTTCAGATTCATCTGTGATATTCTTGATTTCACTTTCTTCTAAACCTTCTCTGGACCCAGTGAACCATATTTCAATAGCATCATCTTCGCATCTAACCCTAACCCTAACCCTAACCACCATTGCCATCATCATCATCATTAGTTTCTTTGTAATACTTGCTCTTCCAATCTCTAGTAATGCATCTTGCCAACTTCTCATCCTTTCTAATTCTGTCTTTGGGTTGCCAAAGAGCAGTAGAGAAAATTGCTGATCCTGACAAAGGATTGCTTCTCCTTTACGTATTTATAATTCCAGCTTAAATTGAGCCCTCAACACTGCTCAACAATCTATTATGTTTGTCTTTACAGAGCCCCCATCATTGCTCATAGTAAGTGTTCCGAATTCTCACCATAAACTCTCAGCCATACTCAACCACCCTAACACACAACTAGTCTCCCACTACCCTAGAAAAGGATAATCTGCCACCCCTCCATTCCTTCAGTCTTCCTCTCCTTCACCTTGAAAGTGACTATTATCCATCCTGAACCCCTCCCACTAATCTCAGAAGACAAGGTAGGCAAGGGCTCACCTGCCCACCTGTGCTGCCAGATCCCTTCCCCTACTGCCTTCCCTGCAAATCTACCCATTATCCCCTTGAATCCTCAAATTCTCTTTGCAGCTGATAAGCTGATACGACTGATATTTTGCTTCTAGGCTCAGAGTCTATAATGCACCCTTATGGCTTGAAACTTTGAAAGTATTTATTAATACTGAGAAGGCCATTTTTTAAGTTGGATATCATTCTTGGCAAATAATCACAGGTGTACTTGAATAGAATTCTTTGGCTGGATTTTCTTAGACATCTGCCTGTAATATTTTACGACCTTGGCATACATTGTAATGAGGTTTTGGCCTTTATGACAAGAGTAGATGAAATTACATATATGTGACAGTGCATTTAAACGTAAGGACTTTCCAAACTTCATGGGGGTTATTGATATCAGCACACAAAAAGTTGACCTGATAAGCCATGAAACAGATTTCTTCACAATATCCTTTTTTAAAAAAGATTTATTATTTATATATTTATTTTATTTTTGGCCGCGTCAGGTCTTAGTTGCAGCACGCGGGATCTTCACTGAGGCACGCGGGATCTTTTGTTGCGGTGCTCAGGCTTCTCTCTAGTTGTGGTGCACAGGGCGCATGGGCTCTGTAGCTGTGGCACACAGGCTTAGTTGCCCTGTGGCATGTGGGATCTTAGTTCCCTGACCAGGGGTCGAACCCAAGTGCCCTGAATTGTAAGGCAGATTCTTTACCACTGGACCATCAAGGAAGTCCCTCTTTGCAACATCCTTTAATATGCTAAAGAACATCCGAGAGAGGAATTGAAGGTGTGGCATCTCCAAAGCTTATGTGGCCAAGGAGCTGTGAACTTTTGCCAGGAGCACCAATCGACACCTCTTTCTGTTACCAGTTTGGGAAATTCTGACCAATTCCAGTGATCTTCAGAGTGTCACATCATTCCCCCAGCTGTGCACTGAAGTGAAGTTCCACCCTTCTAATTCCTAATTGGCATATCAGCTACAAAACCAAATTACAGATACTAAGGAAGATAAAAACACCAGACTGTAAATAACATCACACCGAGGTCATCACGACGTGAGTCAAACGTGTACTCCAAATTTTCTCTATCCCACCAAAGGACACCCCTATATATTTATTTCTCATTCGGTCACTGGAATAGAGTACAGGAGGCCTGTGGGATGATAATGTACAAGGAGACCATATGGACACACACCTCCCTGCTCTGTGGTGGGAAGGGGCCATTAGGCTTTTCCTTAAGGCTCATTTTTCCTCCTCATGTCATTGTTCAAATTTTGCTGATTTGTTTCCAGCTGCTAACAAACAGCTGAACTTTTCTCTCACCCTGTAACCCTTTTAAGCTTCAGCGTCCTTTCTTTTCTGTGTAGCTCTGCAAAAATTACTGAAAGAATGGTCTAACACTCATCATTTGGACTTACCTCCCATCTGTTATTTTAACCTGCTAAGCAACAATTTCCACCACATCTGGTAGCAGCTCCCAGATTTTTTTAAGGAACCACCACTCCTGCTTTAGATAAAATCTTAGCAGGCCAAGGGGAGGGTGCATGACTGAAGTTAGGCTAATTAGTGCCAATTGTGTCATAAAGACAAAAATGTATTATAAAGACTGAAAGTGGACTGAATCTTCCAACCAGACACAGGAGCATGGCAGAGCCTCTCTATCGGTTTCTTTTACCAAATCCCTTCAGCTCTCTGGGTTCTCGCCCTTTATGAGACCTGGTTTTCCCACTCTCCTCTGTATTCTGTGAGTTACTGCACATCCTTCTAATTTGTTTGTTTGTTTCTGGACTACTTTAAGTTAGAGTCCGTTTCTGTTGTTTGCAACCCAAGAACTCCAACGTGTCTTACACAACTTGGCTTCCTCTGTGGAAGCTGCACTCACCCCTACTTGATTATAAACTCCGTGAGGGAGGGCAGGTGCACCTTATTTGCATCTACATCTGCAAAGTCGACCACAGCCATGGCACAAGTAAAGTCTCCATCAATATTTCTGAGGTTACGTGAAGCCAACAACCTAACCCAGTTATGCAATGAAGCCCTCATCCCTTTTCACATTCTCAACTCTCTCCAAACTGCTGGGAACCTTCCCAGGAGTCTATCTCCCACTTCTCTCATTCTACATGATCTTCCTGGATGACGTCATTCCTTCTCCAGCCATTAGCACTGCCCAGGAGCTGTCGACTCCTCACAAGCCTGTAACTGCAGCTCCAGCTTTCCCACACTATGGACTGGAATGTCCAAC